GGGAGATGTTCAAGAATCAAAGGGAAGCACATACAATCCATACTGAGCTTGCCCTCATTCTGGATCCCGCTCTGGTTCATACTGGCGACATCAGCCACCCAGATGCCGCGAATGTGGAAGCCATTAGCTTGTTCCAGCAGCTCGTCCCACAGCGGTTCGTACAGTTCCTGTGTCCAATTTTTGAGCATATGAGACGAAATATCAGGTTAAAGATAGGGTCACCTTCGGTAGACCGACTCCATGAGCGGCAATGAAAGTAATTGCATCCGCTGGAATGGGACCTTCGTGTTTGGGGGTATATTGTTTGACATGAATTTTCAGTACATCTTCCTGCGTGACGGTGCTCCCTGGGTATTCTCTAATATGACTGCCCGGAACAAGATGCTCAGTAACGGTGAACTTCTCGCTTGACATGGCGAAGATTGGAACTCGGATACAGAATTAAGAGGGAAAATAATGAAACAGGGAATTGCATGTAGAAAAGGTCGGAATTTAGTAATTTACTAATATCCCTACTAGAGTCTTCCTTAGCTACCTAGGCACGTATCTTCCCCTCTTTTTCCTGCAGGGCGCACGGAACAGCTCTAGTGTAAGGCTACTACCCCCTTCTTTTATTTTCTTTTTCTTTTGCATATACTATGATCAGTAAGTCCAAGTGGATATAGGCATCTACCCTTTTGATGTTTGTATTCATCTTTTTGTACATTTTGTCGTCATTCTTCATATCACTATTAATCTCACTGCTGGATGAAAATCCAAGTTGTCAAGTGACTGCCTCTACCCTAAGCACTTCTCATTCGTTTTCACTATCTCATTGTTAGTCAAAGTAATCTCACTTCTGAACCAAGGAAAACATATCCCCAACCCAACCATGCGCTCTGTTGAGCATACGGCCGTACAGTCGAGCAACTCTGAATGGCAGTTGGCAGTTTTCCCCGCGGATGGGGCTCGTGGAACTGGATGCTTCTTTAAGCATCCAGCCGAGTTGGCTTAAACTTCCAAACCGAACCGTACAGCTTCATGGCCGTAAAGCCAACCGAGGTCATTGCATAAAGGAAATCATTCCACGGGATTTCTCCCGGGAAAGATGTCACCTGTAGGGTTAAAAAAGATAGTTCTCGAAGACCTTCAGCGCACGTGCATCCACGAAAAATGTGGGTTGTTGATTAGTAGGATTTGGTGGTGTGAGAATTTCAGCTTCTATAATATAAATCCCAATTGCACTGTGACTGCCTCGGCGCTAGGTATTTCTCACTTGGTAGTTCACACTCTTCTCAGGTAAAGCTCACTTCTTAATTATAGCTCACTTCTTAATTATAGCTCACTTATTAGCCAATAAGAGCATATCTCCAACCCAACCGTATGCTCTGTTTAGCATATGGCCAAGATAAGATGGGTTTGACCGGGGTGTTAACTTACCCGTAATCTAGGCCGTAATTGCCATTGCCATCAGAAGAAAAGTCAACCTTGTCTTGCTCGCAGACAGCGCGAGCAGCTGAGTTGAAGTGATCCAGGGTGGCAAAATGATCTTGATCTCCCTGCTTGAAGTCATTGGTGTCTGACATGCATTTAAGGACACCTCCATCAACGGTATGTGTCTGCTCCAGCCGTTGAGTAGTGGTGCTTGGCACTTCATCAGTAGTGGTGGTGATCCTGTGATCATCGGTCGTTGTGACGTAGCCAGAAGATGCTCCACCATCTTCTCCTTGGTCCGCGTACGGGTCCACAGAATATCAGGCGTCTACCCCAGTGGTCGTAGCCGATGGAGTCGCCCGGCAGCCGGTGTAGACGTGATAGCTTGTGGTGGTGCATGAGGTGGATGTCGAGTCAATAGTCTTACAAGACGAACACTCCGAGAGAGCTGCGGAGAATTGGTGTGCTTGTGCATGAGGTGGCAGCCATGGTAATTGACCATGGTCTCTGAGCGAGGCAGATTCCGACAATGGAACTATCTCTTTACTTATGGGTCCAATTTCTTATAGATCCCAATATAGCTCAAAAGACACGATACTAATCTCGTCAATCTTGAATAAGGATGCTAGCATATGCAACCTCTAAGTGGCGATACGGCAATGCGGTGGAGCTACTTAGCATTATTTAGAGAAGTGATTTTATATACTTTGTAAGCCGTCCGCGCTCCTTTTCCATTTCGCTAATCACTTCCTATATACCGTCTGTTGATTTGGCCGCTATATATATTAGCCTTAATAACATTAGCTTCTACTCTCACCCTCCTATAAAGCCCTCCTCGCGTGCGTTCCCTACTTCCTATTAGAGAGCCTATAATGCTTCTATAGCTCCTTAACCCCTTCCTCGTGCCCTCCCGCCGAGACCGTATTTTTAAGAAGTAACCTTTAGCTTTGTAACGGGCCAGTGCCCGGTTGATATCACGTGCGCCCACGTGACCTTTACCACACCCCCTTTTGTTTACGTCCGACCCCATCAATTCTCCCTTCTTTCCTTAAGCTTTTAGACAACTGCAAATGGCTTAGTTAGTTTGAATCAAGACTGGCTATGTCCCTTTAGACCTTGACATTTCCCATGGGCACCCCAGAATCTTCGGCCCACCGTACATGCCCATAGTTCCCATGGGCCGGGCACCCCCCC